GATGGATTTTTGAATATTGTACCATCTTTGCATCCCTGGAATAAATCACACCTGATTATGATGCATTATCTTTTTGATGTATTTTTGAATTCATTTTGCTAATATTTTTTGAGTATTTTTGCATGTATGTTCATCAGGAATATTGGTCTGTAGTTTTCTTTTTTTGTGGTGTCTGATTTTGGTATTAGAGTGATGCTGGCTTCATAGAATGAGTTTGGAAGATTTCCCTCCTCTTTTTGTAAAACTTTAAGGAGGATGGGTATTAAGTCTTCACTAAATGTTTGATAAAATTCAACAGTGAAGCCATCTGGTCCAATGTGTTTGTTCCTAGATAGTTTTTTGATTACATAATCAATTTCATTTCTGGTAATTGGTCTTTTCAGGTTTTCCATTTCATCCTGGGTCAGTCCTTGAAGGTAGTGTTTTTCTGGAAAGTCGTCCATTTCTTCTAGATTATCCAGTTTGTTAGCATATACTTTTTCTTAGTATTCTCTAATATGTCTTTGTATTTCTGTGGTGTCCTTAGTGATTTTCCTTTCTCATTTCTGAATCTGCTTATGTTTGTAGCTTCTCTTTTTTTATTGATAATCTGGCTAGCGGTTAATGTATTTTGTTCATTTTCTCAAAGAACCAGCTTCTGGTTTCATTGATTCTTTGTATTATTTTATTCTTCTCAATTTATTCATTTCCTCTGATCTTTATTATGTCCATCCTTTTACTGACATTGGCCTCATTTGTTCTTCTTTTTCTAGTTTCATTAATTAAGAATTTAGACTATTCATTTGGAATTTTTCTTCTTTCTTGAGATAGGCCTGTATTGCTCTATACTTTTCTCCTTGAATGGCCTTCACTCCATCCCACAGAAGTTGTGTTGTTGAGCTGTTGTTGTCATTTGTCTACATATATTGCTTGATCTCTGTTTGAATTTGGTCATTGATCCATTGATTATTTAGGAGCATGTTGTTAAGCCTCCATGTGTTTGTGAGCCTTTTGTTTTTTTTGTACAATTTATTTCTAGTTTCATACCTTTATGATCTGAGAAATTGGTAGGTATAATTTCAATCTTTTTCAATTAACTGTGGCTCTTTTTGTGGTCTAGTATGTGATCTATTCTTCAAAATGTTCCATGTGCACTTGAGAAGAATGTGTATCCTGCTGCTTTTGGGTGGAGTGATCTGTAGATGTCTGTTAGGTACATCTGTTGTAAAGTATTTTTCAGTGCCTCTGTCTCCTTACTTGTTTTCTGACTAATTGATTTGTCTTTTTGAGTGAGTGGTGTGTTGAAGTCTCCTAAAATGAATACATTGCATTTTATTTCCCCCTTTAATTCTGTTAGTATTTGTTGTACATATTTGGGTGCTCTTGTGTTGGATGCATAGATATTTATAATGGTTATATCCTCTTCTTGGGCTGGCCCTTTTATCATTATATAATGCCCTTCTTTTTCTCTTGTTACTTTCTTTGTTTTGAAGTCTATTTTATCTGATACATGTTCTGCAACTCCTTTTTTCTCCTTATTATTTGTATGAAATACCTTTTTCTATCCGTTCACTTTTAGTCTGTGTATGTCTTTGGGTTTGAAATGAGTCCCTTGTAGGTAGTATATAGATAGGTCTTGCTTTTTCATCCATTCTGTAACTCTCTGTCTTTTGATTGGTGCATTCAGTTGATTTACATTCAGGGTGATTGTTGATAGATTTATGCTTATTTCCATTGCAGGGTTTAGATTTTTGGTTACCAAAGTTTCATGGGCAGCCTCTTTACTATCTAGCAGTCTACCTTTACTCACTTATGCTATTATAAACATAGTCTGTTGATTCTTTTTCCTCCCCCTTCTTTTTCTTCCTCCTCCACTCTTAATATGTTAGGTTTCATATGCTGTACTCTGTGTGTTTCCCTTGACTGACTTTGTGGGTAGCTTATTTAATTCTGCATTTTGTTAGTGTATAGATGATCTACTTCCTTTGCTGTGGTTTTATTTTCTCTGGTGACAGCTATTTAGTCTTAGGGGCACTTCCATCTAGAGCAGTCCCTTCAAAATATCCTGTAGAGATGGTTTGTGGGAGATAAATTTCCTCAACTGTTTCTTATCTGGGAATTGTTTCATCCCTCCTTCAAATTTTAATGATAGTATTACTGGGTGGGCTATTCTTGGTTGGAGGCCCTTCTTTTTCATTGCATTAAATATATCATGCCACTACATTCTGTCCTGTACATTTTCTGCTTAGCAGTCCGATGATAGCCTGATGGTCTTTCCTTTGTACGTGATCTTTTTTCTCTCTCTGGCTGCTTTTAGTCTGCCCTTGTCCTTGATCTTTGCCATATTAGTTATTATATGTCTTGGTGTTGTTTTCCTTGGGTCCCTTGTATTGGGATCTGTGTGCTTCCATGGCCTGCAAGACTAGTTTCTTCCCCAGATTGGGAACATTTTCAGCTATTATTTCCTCAAAGAGACTTTCTATCCCTTTTTATTTTTCTTCTTCTTCTGGTACCCCTTCAATGTAAATATTGTTCCGTTTGGATTGGTCACAGAGTTGTCTTCTCATTTTTTCATTTCTAGAGATCCTTTTTCATCTCTCTGCCTCAGCTTCTTTGTATTTGTGTTCTCTAATTTCTGTTCCATTTCCTGTCTGCTCCACCTCATCTGATTTGCTTTTAAATCTCCACATTGTATGTTTCATTTCAGCCACTATATTTTTATGTTGTCTATCTCCCTTCTGAATTTGTCCCTTCAAAAATTTGAATATTTGTCTGTAGCTCCATTAGCATGCTTATGACTTTTATTTTTTAATCCTTTTTCAGGAAGATTAGTGATTTCAGTCTTATTGAGCCCTCTTTTTGGTGTTTGAGGGATTTCAGATTGAGTAAAGTTCTTTTGCTGTTTCATTTCTACTGAATAATATGGAATGATAACTTTTTCAGGAGTTCTACCTTCTGTAGCTGCCCAGTCCCTGGAGAGATGGTGTGGGTCACAGGTGAGCAGTGCCTGTGCCTGCTGGGAGGAAAGAGCTCTTTCCTGCTTCCTAGCTTCAGTGCCTGTCTCCACTGCCATTGCCAGTGGGCTTAGCATGCAGGAAGCAGCCTCTGCATTACACCCCTGCAGCTGCTGTGGGCAGAGCTGTCTTCCAGCTGGACTGGTATGATGGTGGGAGCAGCAGGTTTGTGAGCAGGTGCCGGCTGGGGGGAAGGAGTGGCAGGCTACAGTATTGTGGTGGTGGGCCTCAAGGTGGCATTGCCAGCCAGGAGGATGGAGTGCCTGAAGCTCCTGAAAGTTCCCAACCTGCTGGGCAGAGTGTACCAGGATGATTTTGTCCACTTGTCCTTTCTCCTGAGCAGCAAGCTTTGTGTAATCCTTCCCCTTTAACAGCCCTCTCACTGTTGGGAAGTCTTTCAAAGTGCCTACCTTTCTTTTGTCCCAGGGCAGCCCCTTGTGGGTGCTTGTTCTCCACAAGCAGCTGGAATTACAGTCTCTCTGAGTATTCCACTTGTCCCTGCTTTCCAACCCCCCCAATCTCCAGGGCACCGTGTAATATGGGTCTATGCTCCTGGAGTAAATCTCCAGGGTTGAGTATTTAGCAGTCTGCAACTTCCATCCCCTCCCTGTTCATTTTCTTTTCCTCTCACTAGTGAGCTGGGGTTGGGGGAGGTCTTGTGTCCCACTGGATCGTGGCTTTGCTACTTTACCCTTTTCTGTGAGGTCTTCTCTTTTCCCCATATGTAAGCCATCTGAATGCAGTCTTCTTTCTGGTCACTGTTTCAGGTTTAGTTGTATTTGCTGTATTTTTGTGTTATACATGGTTTTGGGAGAAGATTTCTGCCTCACTTCTCATGCTGCCATCTCCCCCCACACCCCCAGAAATCCAGAGCTCCAGTCATACTTTCATTTAGCATTTTTCCATTGATAATTCCCTTAGATTGGAGTATCAGACAAATCTCAAGAAAATAAGATGATCAGTCCTTAAGGTGCAACATCTCAATATTTGGATTCTGAAAGAAAGGCAAAGGGGGTGGAGGCACAATATCCAGCTGGTGCCCAAAATCTTCTTAAGTTGTCTAAGTCTCTCTTTCCTTTCATATAAGGGTAGTGGTACCAGAGCAGATACATCAGTGGGTTTGGAGAACTAAATGAGATAAGCAAAAGAACTATCCATAAATGTCCACAAGTATTGTTAGTGTATTATTAGCAAATGAAACATTGAACTGATCTGTTCAGACTAGTCAGCTTGACACCTGTGTCAGAATCCTTTGCCTCAAATTCTTTTTATTTCAAATGAAAGTGTCTCTTAAGACATGATTACATGATTCTGAACCTTCACTTTCTACTTAACATCATGAATATAGACATGGTTTGCATGCAAATGAGTAGGCCCAATATATACAGGTAACATGGAATGTAATGTGGTAAAATGAACAATTCAGATGGAAAAATATTTTTTTATGAATAGTATCCAACTTTAGCAAAAAATCTCTGGTTAACTGTCTGGCTGTTGATTTGGAGTGCTTGTCTTAGAGATCCCCACTAGTCTGTGGCATTTTTGAGAGAAAATTCTTAAAATCCCCCTCAGTGTATTCTGAAATGTATCTTTGAGGAGTACCATGAGGTCTTTGTTAGTAAGGAATGACATTAAATTTCATTTTTCTTCCTAGTAAGCAGCGTTGCTCCTCTATTTTACAAGGTTGAGATTTAATAAATTCAGATGAGCAAAAATTTTTAAGGACTGGACATCTCTGGATTAACATCTCCTTTCTGTTTGTCAAGTGAACCATATTTTCTTTTAAACTTGTTAGGCTAAATGTTTGTTGCTGAATTTGCATAAAAAAATCCAAACCTTAATTGTTTTGGATTGAAGTTATCTGGCTTCATTCTTTTGGCAAGACTCAGATTTAAAGCCTGAAGAAAAGGTGCTACTGATTTTACAATTTTAAAAGTGTTCACCAAGCACCATAACATAAATAAAACATTTAAAAATGATCCAGTGTCTTTTCCGTACTGTGCCCGAGAAAGCAACATGGGTCACCAGCAGCTCTGCTGGAGCCATCCGAGAAAATTCGGCCAGGGCTCTGGTTCGTGCCACGTATGCTTGAACTGGCATGGTCTGATCCGGAAGTACGGCCTCAATATGTGCCGCCAGTGTTTCCGTCAGTTTGCGAAGGATATTGGCTTCATTAAGTTAGACTAAGTGAACGCCCTTCAATGAATCATCCAGGATATATCTGCTCACCACAGAAAAAATGTTAGCTCTTTGTAAAGAAAATAAAAATTTTTCAGTTTTGAGTGTTTTATGTGAAAAAAAATGATTCAGTGATTTTGAACTATAAATGAATCATGAAGTATAAAGGTAAAAATTCATGTAGATTCAGACGAGCCTTCTTAGGGTTTTATCAGAGATGAGCAAAATAATTTAAAATGGAGCTTATTCAAGTTTGTGCTTGTTTTTTTTTTGTGTGTGTGTTTGTAGGATAAAATAGATATGCATATGAATTTTGTGATTTGTACTTGTTCATTTGCATCTCTATAACTGCCTATGGATAGGTGCCTAAATCTTATATTAATGAAAAAACAAGTTTTGAGTTTACTAGTAAGAGAAATATAACTCTTCTTTCTTAGTTGTGAAATTTATGTATTATATTATTTGTTTATAACCATATGATTTCAGAAGAAGTTGTTACAGAAATTACTAACAGTAAAATAGAATAAATGACATTCATTAATGAAGAAACCTTAGACTAAATTCTGTATATGTAGCTTGGTGCCTTTGGGATAACTTGCTTGGCTCTTCATAATTTAGTGGTTATGGCATTACGTACTTGCATTTTCGTGGAAAATTTGCAGCCCAAAAACTAAGCATCCTCTGTGGGAGTAAGACCTGCAGGGCACACTTCCTGCCTGCCTAGGACTGGGTCCAGCACCCACACCCCGGTAACTCTGCTGCTGGTGGTCACGGCCTCTCTTTGAGGAACTATAGCTCAGAGGTTAGATCCGTTCATCCATCTCCTTAGGCTCTTCTTGGTTCTCCTAGTTCTGCAAAGCAGTTTTAGATTATATGACTTAAATATACAGAACAAAAACAATATACTTTGTCCTGCATCAGTTTCCCTAAAGCAATCAGTCTTCAGGAGCCAAGGTAAATTAATTTGTGACACCAGGTTGGTATAGGCATCAAAACTTTCTACTGGCCCCTTTTGCTTATAAGGAGTGTTTGTATCAAATATGATTGTCTCCAGCCGTCACGCAGCGGGGAGTATGTGATGAGGTTTCCTCTTTATAATGTTAAGTAGATCATCAGTACCTATTAGCCACAAGGAGGCTCCCTCAAAAACTGCTAGTGTCTCCACTCACCAGAAGCCCTTGCCTTCCCATGTCAGTTACTGTCACTCACCTCTGTCACTCCCGATCTTGTGGCTGACTTTTGGGGGTGGGAGATTTCCCACTGGTCCTGTGGGTGCTGGGGAAATGCACTGATGGCCCAGATACACACAAAAGAAACCACTTAGGTGGCATGGTGGGTGGAGATCCAGGATCGGGATTCTCAAAGCGCTTTGAGTCATTGTGTTCCAAGACATACAGCTCGAATTCTAATTTCTAAATGGGGAAACAGAGGTGGCCTCAGAGAAATGAATCTTGCTGTCACTGAATCTCCTGTGTAGCACTGCCCCAGAGCTAAGCTTTTCCTACTCAAGCTGCTAAAGGACAGAGGGTAATATGAATCCAAGGGGGTAACACTGAGTGGGCCTCAAGACTGGACAGGATGAATAAGTGGAAACAGGATAATGAGCAAGTGAGAGCACCCTGCATTTGTGAGGTCACTGGGCCTCTGGCTGTGCACCTAAGATCAGGGGAACTGTAGGACAATGTATTTCCAACATTTTTTTGTATTGATCTACACATAGATACATTTAACCAAAATAGAACTGTGTGTGAAACATGTTTTATGCATACTCCAGGCATTGCTTTCTGATAGTTTCTCTCCTTCTGCCCTGCCCTGTTGTAGTATAATTTATTCTACATGACTTTTAAAAAATGACCTCAAATCATTAAATCGATTTTGCAGCCCACTAAATGGGTCATGACTTAAATGTAGTTAAAAAAAATAAACTAATTTAGTCTTAACATATTTATGTAGTAAATAATGTAAATCAATGCTGACAATAGGGGTCTCTTAGGTAGTTTTTAAACAAATTTCAGAGGAAATGTTTGTAAAGTGTTCATCAAATACTATGATGAACAGTACAACATCATTTATTATTGGCTATTATTTTTATATGTGGGCTGAGACAGTCAGTTGCATGGTTTCCAATACTTACTGAATTGTTTGAAAGCAAAACCAGCAAGAACAATGCTAGTGACAGGTGCAGTAATTGTGGATAAATCACAAGAGGGAATTTGCTCCATGGTTCATTGATTAGCATGTGCTGCTTTGTCTGCATGAAGTGAAGATACACATTTCCTTTCCTTTATATCAATGGATGAGACTAAAGGTTTGTCAAAATTTCCTTTAAATGCTTTGCTTCTTCCTTCTTCCTGAGCTGACCTTTCCCAGCCCTTCTCCTGCCTAGACCCTCATGAACTGGAGGATGCTGAAATTCATACTGGTGGAGGAGAGGGTGTTACTTCATGAGAAAGGATGACTTTGTCCCTTTATCCAAGTCTTCAGCCCTATGGTGATGATATTTTCCTTATACTTTGAGCAATTAGTGGATATACTAATATTGAATAACTTATACTCTGTAACTCAAGGTATTTATTCTTACTGATTTATTCTTTAAGGATATTACTTGATTCTCTATGCTACCATTTTATTTGGAGTTTTTGAAACTATATTTATAAACTAGGTTAATATATATAATTTTAGGTTCCTAGAGTTATTCATTTATTTATCAATTTATGTGACATTAAACAATATGAATTGAGTGTCTGGCCTTAAAAAATGTGTAGTCTGGTAATAGATACATGCAAGTATCCTTGAAGAAATGACATCCAATTGAACTCTGTGTCAGTGACGTTAGACTGCTATGACGGAGACTCACTTAACTGACTCAAATAAGACATACACTTTTATTTGTCTCCCGCACAGCTGGCTGGAATAAGGAGTATATGCCTAGTGGGGTACTTTTATCAACTGCATCATGTGTCTTCCCGACTTAGCTCCCGTCATCACTCTTTCTTAGCCATCAAGAACATATACACAGAGAAACCAGGAAAAGTATACTTGTGGAGATGACCCAAGAGTTACACACAAGCCTTCTGCTCACATCCCATGGCCATGCTTAGTTACAAGGAGGCTGGGAAATAATAACTCTCTGTTGGCCAACTAGGTGCCCAGCTAAACTGCAGGTGCTACCAGAAAGAATGCGATAATGGATAAAGGAAGAAAGTTACCATTCTCTGCCAAAACATCTATAGGAGTAAAATTGTAATTAGTCAACTGAAGGATACAGGGGGCAGGAATTAGTGTTCTAGTTATGGCATTGCAGTCTGTAAAAGGATATGGGGAAGCAAACAGCCAATTTTGTAAAGAAGTATTGAAAAAGCAATGAGAGAGGGCTTGCTCAGAGAACTGACCACTGAAGCACTACATGTGAGGGGCAGCTAAGCATGGAAGGCAGAATGAGATTGGCTTTCTTATCAAGGTGGGATCTGAAGAGTGAAGTTAACTACCAGATGATAGCTGGAGGGGGTATTTAGAGCAGAGGAAGCATGGAATTCAAAGACCCTGACAGGAGAATGAACATGGTGTGATTAAGAAATTGAAAGAATTTCAGTCTTGCAAGTAGGCACATTGCAGGGCAAGGTATAACAAGAAATGAGGTTCTCAGGAGAGCTGGAGGCAGATAACACTTCATGCCATGCTAAGGATATTTAACTTTATTCTTAAGGCAAGACAAAACTATTGAAGAGTTTGGGTAAGAAGATGGGAGAATGTTATCCATTATTCCAAACTCAGCCTGAATTATTGCTGCCATGCTAATCCTGGAGCCAAAGGAGGAAGGTATGAAATATGTAAACTTCCAGTTTAATTCTTGAGACTAAAGCTAATATATACATTTACAGTGTAGTGTGGTTGTCATATAGACTGTTTAACCAGAAAATACTTTAGGCAATGATAATTGAGTTTCTACTCTACTTCTACTCTTTCATTGAACTAGGCAATGCATGTGCTTTGAGAAACATACAAAAAAATCATACTACCATGACCACAACATAGAATTCTTCAACTTATAAATAGATTGATCAACAGAATGGAAAAGAAAAGAAGGAGAAAATGAAGCAGTAGTCATTAAAAAACAAAAAAACAAAAAACAGTGGAAGACATGAATATGTAAGTGGTACTTGATGGTATTGTCCAAATATTGGATCAACATATTTGCTAATGAAGAAACTTTGGGAATCTGGTGATTAAGCCTCATGTGGTTGGTAACAAGTGGCAAATTTCTTAGAAATCTCACATTTTAGTTTTAAAATTAATATAGATTTTGTAGAACATATTTGTGCTTTTTTAAAATAAAAAATTGTGTCTTTACCACTAATGGTTCTGGTTAAATATTGTTTCAAGAACATTCCCTGCATTATTCTTAGATCTTTTCACATACTCTGGACTATACAGTGTGTTCCCTATGATAATGGATATCCTACTTTGAAAAATACTGATCTGCTCAATGCTTTGTGTGAGACAAGTCAGAAAGATAATTAAAATTCATGAATGAGCTAAGGAGACACCTCAAATGCCACTCCATTAGTTTAAAGTGAGAAATGGAATGGTTATGCTCAGTGGAAATGTTCCTCTTAGCATAATCAGCGTATAGCTCTCTTTAGTTAAGCTATAAGGGAAGCCACATCATAGACAGACATCACTTTATTGATTTACTGAGAGAAATCACCATTACCCAGAGGTAGGTGTGCATTGCACTTCTTGTTTTGGTAACTCTTAGAGTAACTCAGTATATTCTATAAAACCTAGAATTAAGCCTCCCTTCTGTTCTTTAATATTGGGAAATGGTTTCACATACGGATAAAAATGTTACAGAAGTAAGAAATTATAAACCTCAAAGCTTATCTAGTGATTCTGTGACTACTAGACATTAGTGGGGACTTTGTGAGAAGACTTTTATATTCTATAAAACCTAGAATTAAGCCTCCCTTCTGTTCTTTAATATTGGGAAATGGTTTCACATACGGATA